GAATAAGGGCAAGCATTGCTATGCCAATACAAATGTTTCTGGAGCTGGGCATGGTGATGAAGACTTGTAATCCCAGCTCTAAGGAGGTTGAGGTAGGAGGATTGTGAGCTTGAGGCGAGCTGGGACTATACAGCAAGACTATCTTGAAAATGAAATCTTTTGGAAATTTGCCAATTTTTTATTATTTAGAGTTAGGTGTACTGGAAAATAAAGGATATAAGGACTAGTAAAATGAAAATAAGCATGAGAAGAAATGACCTGGGTTTATTGGAAAGGAAGTAATAAGGGATGGGGCGATGCTGCTCTGCTGCTGGCTTCCCTAATTCGCTGGCCCTGCAGTTGATGAACATCTTCCCATTAGGGTCTGGAGACCTCATTTATTTTCTAACTGCTCAGAGTTCAAAGGTTCAGCTTGTTTCAGTGCTATTCCCATCCTGTCTTGTATTTAGAAAAGACAGCGAGATAATCTGTGCTTTATTCCTTCCTCCACTGATAGGATTTCCATTCATTGTATAATCTTGCTTTCCAGGAATTCATTACTTGAACACAATTATCATTGTAACTTTGAGGTTACAGAGTTTTAAAAATGTATTCCAGAAGCAACATTTACTGGGAAAAGTTCACATGCTTCTGATTTCTTCAATAAATATTTTTGCATCTGAGTGTCTTTGACAATTTAGGAAATTGGAGCTATCTGCAAAATCATAAAGATTAAATGAGTATCAGAATTCTGGGCAAGAATGCTCATAGTGATATTGGTTAGTTGTATTTCAGGGCTCAAAGAAAAACACAAAGTTCATAAAATCAGATCCTTCCTACCGCTTGTTTAGAGAATTATCCAACTCAGTGTATTATGTATTCATCACCACTCTACCTTTGATTTGTGTGCAGGTTTCAGTTTCTATGGTTTTAGGAAATGTATTTACACAATCATAGTTATTTTCTCCTACTAAATGTTAAACTTGACTGTATGCCAAATGGAAGGGATGAGGAAGACAGAGAGGGGTATGGAGAGAGAGGAGGGTAGAGGGATCAAAAGTAGAGTTAGTTTCATATGCTACTTATAATAATATACAAATATATAGATTAAACACACATTCCTATTGGTTTTAGGAAATGTATTTACACAATCATAGTTATTTTCTCCTACTAAATGTTAAACTTGACTGTATGCCAAATGGAAGGGATGAGGAAGACAGAGAGGGGTATGGAGAGAGAGGAGGGTAGAGGGATCAAAAGTAGAGTTAGTTTCATATGCTACTTATAATAATATACAAATATATAGATTAAATACACATTCCTATATATGTAAAAATACACACACACACACACACATATATATATATATCTCCCATTCATGATTATAGAACAACTTTGGTACTTGTACTTTTAGAAGGTTCAGTAGATCTGGAGTTACATCATTGGAAATGAGATGTGTGAAGCTTTAATAAAGTTCAGGCAGAATACAGCAAGCATACATAGATTGTGTCAAAACTGTGTCACACAGCGTTATTTGCCTGTTTGCTCACTACTCATCTGTTGATCCATTCATTCATCAAACAACAGTAGAATACCTACTGCATTCTTCAAGGAATAGGGATTTAGTGAAAGGAAGCATAAGTCATAATTCAACTCAGCAAATACTGAACTCCAAGAAGGAACAATGTTCTGTGGTTGTTCTGCACAGTGAGAATTTTCTTCCTCTGATTTTTAGTGTCTTAGATAAGCTACTTTCTTGTATAACAGAAGTCAATGAAAATCTCTGACCAGCAGAGTTGAGTTCAGCCTCTGCTTCTTCTCTTAATAATTGTGTGACCCCGGGAAGGATCTTTCATGGTTTAGTGCTTTGTCAATCAAATATGCTAAAAATACTGATCAATTAATATAAAGGATAACTAACACAGTGTGTATGCCAGTACTGTCTCACTGTTTAGCTCAGGCCAGGCATCCATTGCACTAATACAAGTAGAGAGTCTTGTTTCCAACTAAAATTGATTATGTTAATGAGAATTTTCATAGATCAAGATCTATTCATGATCTCTCTCTCTCTCTCTCTCTCTCTCTCTCTGCGTTCTAGTGGTGCGTCTTTCATGGATTATTATTTTACATTTTTCTGCTTATTATTCAGGTCAAAACAGAAACCATTAAGTGTTAAGCACTTTAAAAGAACCATTTTTTTGAAGTTTGGAAATGAAACTTAAATGTTTGTTTTTATAGTATCAGTCTTATTTCCATGACCCCCAACTTTTAAATCTGTACATACGCACGAGACTGACACAGAACACACTAAACTCTTTAAATTTGTGCGGTTTATTAATAAAAATGTACAATTTTCATAATGTTCTCTAGTCTATTCTTGTTCTGTCAAAGCTAAATTTAAATGTCTAGGTATCACTTGATGTTGTGAGAAACACTGCAAATAAGCCAGTTGCTTAAGTTTTGCCTATGTGTATAACTATAGATAAAGCATATATAAAATAAATGTGAATACATATGCATAAAACTTTGTAAACTTTGTATCTCTATATTATAATTAAACAAAGTCATTGATTTATACCCTTGGTAAATTAAAGCAATTTGAATTTTGCCTCTAATAACTTCTGTCAAGAAGTTCATCAAAGACATTAGGTCAATACAAATACCTCACAATTAAGCTTAGAATGAAACAGTCATAACGAAGTCTAATGTGTCATTCCAAACAAATGCTGTCCAACAAAATATAGGGTGAGCTTCACATATAATTTAAAACTGTAAATAAACCCTCACCCTAGCATCTGTTAGGAAGCCCAGTAAACTCGTTAGGATTTTAAAAAAAAAAAAAAAAAAGAAAGCAGGCTGAATATTAATTACTAGTTCATATTTAATTTTCAGTTCGATATAAGCAGAATGATAATAAAGGTCCTTTTGGTAAAGGACAGCTTTATTATTAAAAAAATTTATAATAAATATGATTCCAATATAATCTGTGTTTGGAAATGTAAAAGTCAGAGAAAATACCACTTTATAATAAAAATGTGTTTATACCCAGAGTAGACATAATTAAGCTATATGCACATTTTGGCATGTGAATCAAAATATTTCCTTTTTATTAGATATTCCTAACACTTGTGATTGCCTCAAGTGTTAGTTCTTCCATAAAAGTCAAAGAATTCCTTTTGAAGACTATGACACAAATAAAGACATAAAATAGATACTTTCATTTGTAATTATGTTTGTGCAGTTCTCTGTGGGATGTTGAGCTGTCAGTTCATCACTTTGCCTGGATTAATATTCAGTATTAAGCCTCATAAACATAAAGTTCAGTGAGAACCATAGAGCATGTAGGTTTCTCACAGAAAAAAACCGAAAAATTAGAATGTGAGTGGTAGGTACATTCTGAAGATACAAACTTGCAAACTTTTTAGAGCAGTGTCACCTGTTAAACTAAATTCCTTCCTTCCTTCCTCCCTCCCTCCCTCCCTCCCTTCCTTCCTTCTTTCCTCCCTCCCTCCCTCCCCTCTCCCTCCCTTTCTTTTTCTGGCTATTTGAGACAGGGTCTCCCTGTAGTCACCACAACTGGCCTGGAACTTGCTATGTAGACAAGGTTGACCTCCATCTCACAGAGATCTGCCTGCTTCTGCCTCCCAAGTGCTGGAATTAAAGGTGTGTGTCACCATGTCTATCTTAAACTAAATTCTTTGAAAATACATGTAAATGACAGGAGTTCAGAGATAATTCTTGAAAATATACAAAGGATATTTACTTATTTATTTATTTTAATCAAATTTATTGAGAATGGCTCATACTATGTTGCCCAGACTGGTCTCACATTTCTCAAATCAAATAATCCTCCTGCATCAGTCTCCCACAGAGGTGGGATTACAGGCATGTTCCCCTGTACTGTATGGCTCCAGTTAGATTTATGGTATTCAATATATCTATATCAGAATTTGAATCCATTTGGAGCTTGGGAAAAACTGCAATAGGAAAATCCAATAAGATACCCAAACTTGCCCAGTGTGGTGGCACATGCCTTTAATCCCAGCACTTAGGAGGCAGAGGCAGGTGGATCTCTGTGAGGCCAGTGAAGTCTGCATAGCAAGTTCCAGGCCAACTGGGACTACAGGGACATCCTGTCTCTAAAAGACACCCCCCTCCCCCAAATATCCAAACTTTAATAAGATTATAAGAACTCTTACTTGTTTGGGGAGTAACAAACTCCCATGATCACAAGCTTCCCTGCTTTTTACTTGCTTGTTTTAGACCATGAGTTCCTTAAAAAAATTTTTTTATGTGTATGATTGTATTGCCTGCATGTATGTATGTGCACCTGTGTCATGCAATGCCCACAGAGGTCAGATGAGGTCACTGGATCCCCTGGAACTGGAGTTGCAGACGGTTGTTAGCTTCCATACGGGTGCTAGGAGTTGAACCTGGGTCCTCTGCAATAGCAGCCAGTGCTCTTAATCGCTGAGCCATCTCTCCAATCCCAGACCATCAGTTAAGCCTAATCATCACTAAATTTTCAATATCAAAGTAGTTATTTAGTAGTTGTTAGTTGCTCAAATTATGTTGATCAAAACTCTATTCCCTTAACTGTGTAGTTTTGACATCTGTGTACCTACTTGTTGCAGATAAGTCAATAGGTGTCACTGTGGGCATGATGACTGTTTTCTGACTGATTCTGTTTCCTCAGCACAGGAAGAAGCAAGGTCATCAACCAAGAGAGGGAAGAGAAGGGGAACAAGGGTGGCGGGGGGAGGACTGAATAGACATTTAATTTAAATTTTATAGCACTTTCTGCTATTTTGTATATTTTGGCTTCATAATTTATCTATAAGCACAGGATTTTCTAGTTCTGTATCAATATATATCTTATCCTGACCAAAGTGATTCATCTGATGGCAGACAGCAGAAAATAAAAGTGAAGAGAAATTGCTTGACTTTCAAACTCCTAAAGCAATTTATGACTGAGATCTATTTTGTCATAACATAATTTCACTTTGCTTTTTGCTCAACAGGGTGGTGGTGATTGTCCAGAGATGAGTATTGGAGCTATAAAAATTGCCTTGGAAATTTCCCTGCCTGGTTCTTTCATCTATGTTTTCACTGATGCACGGTCCAAGGACTACCGGCTGACCCATGAGGTGCTACAGCTTATTCAACAGAAACAGTCCCAGGTGAGTAGGAATCATCTCTAGACCTTTCCATCTGGATTCAGCATGGGAGGTCACCTGTTCTCTCTGGCTATTCTGTGTGTGGTAAATAACAACAGTTATAGTGAGCAATCCACACACCAATATGCCAATATGTAGATGTCATTTGACTTCAATGTCGTAAAAGCATATCTGATATCTATCAATAGCATATGGATATTTTGTGAATGTAGAGAAAAATGAGTGGAGATTAATTAAGGTGCTTATAACCATTTCACCCTATTTGATAGATCTGTGTTTCAAATGCTGCTTTCTATGTGGAATTCTCCCTGTGTTGGTGATTCATTGTATCAGTTAGTTACTGCCATGTAACAAAACCCAATGGTTTAAAGCATAAACATATTGCTCCTCACATGTTAGCACAGCTTTGTGAATCTAGACTAGTAATGCTCACTTGTGTGTCTAGGAATGTTTGGGTTCTGGGATTTGGGCATCTTGGTTTTGCTCCCTAGGTTTCCTAGGTTCCATTGAGATAAATAAGTTCATTTCAACATGTCCTTCTTGTGGCCATGGCAGAAGCACTAGCAATGAAGTAGAAGTGTAAAAGATCTTTTGAGCTGAAGCACAGAACTTGCAGAATGTCTCTTTTGTCTGATGCTTTTGACAAAGTAACTCACAAGGTCAAGCTCACATCTACTATAAACTATACCTCTTTAGTGAGAAGATCTTCAAAATTCTTTGGCAAAGTATATGGATACATGGAGAGATAAGGAATTGAGGCCACTGTGTAAACTAGTACAGTTATAATCTAATTTTCACAGTCTTTATGGTATATTTCTGAAATATAAATATGTTCATAGGTGGGTTTACTGTGAAACAGAATGTAAGGTTAATAATTATCATGTATATTTATGTTCTACTTGCTTAGTTAGTAATACAGTACCACATAATAGGTGCTAAATAAATATCCACTGATTTCTGGAAATCCTTTAAACTGTCTTCTGCTTTTACAAATCATAGGTGGTATTTGTGCTCACTGGAGACTGTGATGACAGAAACCATATTGGATACAAAGTCTATGAAGAAATTGCCTCGACAAGTTCTGGTCAAGTGTTTCATCTGGACAAAAAGCAAGTTAATGAGGTCAGTTCACTAAAAGACAGGGTCTCCCTGTAGCCCCAGCTGTCCTGGAACTCCCTATGTAGACCAGGCTGGCCTTGAACTCACGGAGATCCTCCTGCCTCTGCCTCCTGAGTGCTGGGATTAAAGGCTTGAGCCACCACGCTGGCAGAGGTCTATTTTATTACCAGCTACTTTGCCAAATCATTGGCCATCCTAACTGTGACAAGTTTTATTTTAAAAACATTTATGTCCAACAGATTCTACCCAGGCCACATGTGTGTCAATAACAACAGTGAACTGATGTGGAAAGACAGATTTATCTAATATTAATTTCCAGGCTGCATAATGTTACAGCAAGAAGTTATTTAGGCATAAATGGATTTACAATTCACTTGTTTTGAATAAAAAATATTTTGTAGTTTGTGTTGTTCAGAAAGGACAGTTCGTGTTTCTGATGAATAACTTGAAAAGTGCATAAATGAGGCTTGAACAGTTCTTGAAGTTGAATGTGAGAAAGTTGATTATTAAGCAAAATTCTAATGAGATTTGAGCTCCAAGATTAAAAGCTAAAATTTATGACTAAGTAATTATATAGTTAGCAAAAAGATTGATAAGCATATCTGACTCATTGTAAGCAAGTTTTTTTGTTGTGTGAAAAGATCCTTGAAATGGGCTGGAGAGATGGCTCAGTGGTTAAGAACACTGATTGTTCTTGTGGAAGACCCAGGTTTGAAGCCCAGCACACACATGGCAGTTAACAACTGCCCTTAACTCCAGTTCCAGAGGATCCAACAGCCTCTTCTGTCCTCCGCGGGCATTGCACGACATGGGTGCACTTACCTACATGCAGGCAATACACGCATACAAATAAAAATAATAAATTTTTTTAAGATCCTTAAAATGTATCAAATTGTTAGGATTTTTTTCGCTCCTTTTAATTATCTTGCCTTGGCTTTACTTGGGGTAATAACACTTTATTTGGCTATAAATGTATTTATTTGGCTTCTACTTAAGTTTTTAGGAACTTACCAGACAGAGATAAGGTCTGAAGAGGGTATAATTCACATTTAACTTACTTGTCCTTGATTCTATACAAGATCTGTTAACTTCATTACAGATTCCTGTGTCTTGAATGAAATTGTTCAGAAGTTCTCTTATAACTAAAAAATACTACACACAGTGAAACTAGGAGAAAATTGTATGATTCCAGAACAAGCAGTTTAGTGAAAATATTTTTACCAACATATTGACATATAAACCTGGAAAGCTACTTTAATCTAAAAGAAGTTTTCTTAGAAGAACCAGCTTTAGAGAGAGTAACAACTTGAAGCCATGTTTTATCCTTTTGAGTAATTCAGAAATGCCTACACAGGGGCTGAAAAGGTGACTCAGTGGTTAAAAGCCCTTGCTGCTCTTGCAGAGAACCTGAGTTAGGTTCCCAGCACCTACATGGAAGCTAACAACCATCTGTAACCCGAGTTCCAGGGGATCTGATGCCCTTTTCTGGCCTCTGTGGGCATTGCCCAGCGTTGGTGCACTTACATACACACAGGCAAAACACTCATACACATAAATATAAAATAATAAAATTTAGAAATGTCTGAACAGTTGGGGGCTGGAGAGATGGTTCAGGATTAAGAGCACTGGGTGCTTCTGGAGAGGACCCAAGTTCAATTCCCAGTACCTTCCCGGTGGCTAACAACCATCTCTAGTTCCAGTTCCAGGGGGATTTGATGCCTTCTGACCTCCATGGGCATTGTATGACACAGGTGCACTTGCATACATGCAGGTGATACACTCATATGTGAAAAATAAATAAATAAAAAACATTTTTTTAAAAAAGAGATGCCTGAACAGTGACTTACAACTACAAGGGGATCCCTGGCAATTAATGTACATAAATGTCTGAATAAGAAATTGGAAGCCTGGGAAGGAAGTAGGAAAGAATGCAGGACTCAGGATGTGCACTTCTTGTCCTATCCTAAATGCTGTACTGATGGGATCAGGAAAGGTGGAAGGAAATGAAGGAAAGGCTTGTTGGTTGAAGCTGCCTTTTAACCTGGAATTCTGGAAGACCTTGGGGCATAGTCAGGAGCACTGGCACAAAGGGGGCATAAGTGAGGAGCCGCATTATTCTCTCTTGCACCAACTACGACACAATTGCTTTGGGTTTTGTGAGATTCTGAGTTGGAAGTGACCACGGTGTTCACTGGAAACAGGTGAGATATTGACAGCAGCAGGGCATGTCCCACCCAGTGGCCATGGTGGTTCACAGCAGAAGGTACTGGGGAAGAGAAGAGGCAAGAACACTTACTGTGAACACACAGGACTGTGGGAAGAACACGGTCTCCATCCTGTTTGCGAGCAGCCAAATACAACAGAGGGGTTCTGAAAACAGGCTGGGTGAAAGTGAGAAGAGCCATAAGAGTTTTAGTAGCTGAGTCCCATAGATGGAGAATAAAAGAAAAACTGCTGTGTCCTGTGACTGCAACTCTTGTATCCACACACCCAGAGCAAATTCTGTTACATAAAATTCAAAATGCTGTTGCTCTAAACAAAGAAGATAAACCTTGTGGAGGCTGGGTTTCATTTATTAGATTAATATGTTGATGCATGAGCACAACTCCTGCCTCAAAGGGGATAAAAGATAGTTTATTCCAGAGCCAAATATGAGTGACCACGGCCTGGGAACAGAGATTCAGGGTATTCCAAATTCCGTGTTCCATTGAGGAAGCAATTTCATGAAGATTTTTATGATAACAGAACAAAGAAAAGCCATAAATGAAGACAGTTTTCAAATACAATGGTAGAAAAATTAAGTACAGATACAGCAAAAGATTCATCTCAGCTGTAGGCCTCAGATGCTATCTGATGACACTCAGACTTTTGGTTAGTGGAAGCTGGTGGTCTGCTAAGTTAATACACTCCCAAAGTTTTTTATCTGTTAGACACACGATGTTTAGTCAGAAGCAGAGGTGGGCAAGGAGCAGCTAGTTAAGGGCTAAAGATAGCCCAAGATAAATGGTAATTAGGCTCTGGACCTGCAACATTCCAAGCTCTCCACAATCACTAAAGTTCAAATTAGTTGGTCAGCCTTGCAGAAAGTTCAGTTTCAAGGGCAGGTTCTTTCTGGCAACTGTCCTTCACACTGGCATAATATAGTTTTATAGTCCTAATAATTCTTCATAATTCTGAAAACTACTGAATTTACCAAAATTGCCAAATTATAATATTTGCAAGAATAATTTTATAAAAATTTATTGTAAATTGTAGAAAATTTTACAGATGTAGTTAACTCATTGGTTAGTTCTGATTCTGTCCCAGATCATCAAACTGATGTTCTGACCTTTAAATTCATCCATGGCAGTATAGGAGTTTTAAAAAAATGCTAAATGATCTGTCCATCCTTTTTTTTTTTTTTTTTTTTTTGAAATAGAGTTTGATAACAACAAGAATGAGTCTCGTTTTCTCTGCCTCATTTACTATGGATCATTGAGATTTCAAGAGAATTTGGCTCAGGGCGACTTGCAGTTCTCCTAGATCGTGTCCTGCATGAATGTGAATTCATGATCTAATACTGGCAGCTTGACACAAATCTAAGAAAAACAACATGAAGCACATTGAAGAGCCTAGGAAACCCAGTCTCTGGGTTAAATCATCTACCTCACTTGATGCTAACGTCACTCTTAACTCTTCTTAATGCTGAGCTCCTATGGTGATGGTAATCCTGCTATTAGGTCAGTTGAGTATTCAGTTACATAAAAAAAATCCAAAAATTCTTTATTTCTCTATGACAGAAGTTGCATGAGGCCCTGTTTCCTTGTTTGTAAAATGGAAATAATAGAATTTTCCAAGAAGTGATTGTAGCATTATGTGAGATCATGCAGGTACAATGTTCTGAATGAAGTCTGGTACAGCACACATGATAAATAAGTGTTCACTGGTAGTATAACTCTGGCAGTATTTCTACTTTGCTCTTGGCAGTGGGAACATTGTGCCACCATATATGCCAGAAACCAGACAGATTGAAATCAATCTGAGTGGGAAAATTCAGGGAGACCTGGACAGGTTTCTTTTTTCTTGTTCATGAAGAAAGATTGGAAGTTTTATTAACATGGTCTAAATCAATATGTCTCTTAACAAAGCCACCAAAATGAAAATTTTGTTAATATGGAGCACTCTGACAGTGGAAAAATGAGTCTTCAAAATTTTTCGTATGTAATTTAATAATTTTTTTCTTTTCTAATTGTTCTAAGTTCTTTTATTGTTTTATTCTATAAACACTACAAATTATGGGAAAAGTAGATGCTCTAATGATATCTATACATTTAGCAGACACAAAACTTCACACATTGAGTCCTTGCATTTCATTCAAGAGAAATTTTTCATGGACTTTTTCTGAAGGAAATTGAAGAATATTATGTTTTGCCTTCCTGGTTAATCAGTTTAATAACCTGCTAGGGGACTATCTTCAGCTAATTTGAAGTTTTTAGCTTTCTGCTCTTTGGTGAGGACTATGTAGAGGATCTAGGCATCTTTTGTCTGCTAAAAGCAAAGCCAAAGTCAAGAAATTGTTTGGCTGAGCTTCAGTGGTCTTGAAATCACCATATGGTTCATTATATTTTGGAAACACAAGTTAAGACACACCTCATGGATGTTCTTAGCTCACCACCTTTAAAAACAGAGCAAGAATTAAACTTTACAGAACTCCTCCAAATTTTTGAGAGCTGAGCATCAGCAGACCCAATGAAGGTTTGCTTTGATATCATAAAAAGCCCAGATTTGAAATCTGCACATTAGAGGTGCTGTATGCTTTGTCAAAGAAGCCAATACAAAAATGTACATTGTTAATTAGTTTATCCACATGTCCTGAAATCCCCATCCTTGCTCCATACCTCCCACAACATATGACCTCTAACATCCTCATCATCCCCACCAAAATTCACCCTGGACATCTTGACCTGGTGGATTGCTCCTATTCTAATAATTAACATCCCAGCAAATGTAATCTCTTACTGACA